CGAACAGTGAGACACAAGCGAAAGAAGGAGGGAAAACGATGAGGCACGATAAGGAAAAAATGAGGAGTGGGAGTAGGAGTAGGAGTAGGAGTAGGAAAAGGAGGAGGAGGAGGAGGAGGAGGGGGAGGAGGAGGGGGAGGACGAGAAAGGCCAGGAGGAGCGCTATCTGGAACCCGCGCTGGACGACAGAGGGCAGAATTGAGCTTGATATCTCGCTCGTTGTATCTCCTGTGATAACAACAGCCGTGATTGAAAACTGCGTCCTGCTGGACCTGTCGCCGGCTGCCCTCATACTGTCCGGCCTCCATGCGGTTGGGGTCGTATGCAGTTGTTGAGCAGGCTATCATTGACCCGGCGCGGGATACACGCACTTGGTGCGGGCTGTCTCGGATTAGTTATCTTGGACCTGCCGCGGGGTATCTGGACCTGGTGCGTGGTATCCTGGACTCGGCACCGTCTGTCGCGGACACGGAGCGGGGTATCCTGGACTCGGCGCGGGGTGTCACAAATTCGGCGCGGGTGAGAGGACCAGAAGTCACAACGTCTTCTGGCCAGATGCCCAGCCTGGGTCGCTCTCCAAGATGATGGTAGTCCTCGTGGTTCTGGATGTCGTGGAAGCAATCGTGGTGGTAGCGGTCACGACTTAGGCAATGTAGGCGCAATCCGCTCCAAAACACGCTTACTGAAAACGGCAGACTACACAAGTGCAACCTGCAGAATAAATAAGGTTGACCATGCTCATGCCCAAAAGCCATCGCGGCCAGCAACCAATTCACCCGCAGCGCACCTCCCGTCTACTCGTACTCATCTCAGCATGGGAAACGCCACAGAACACAATGAGAGACGGCAGCGAAACCTTCGCCATCAACCGCCACACTGGACCTGCAACGTACGCACAACTGCCGCTCGAAAGAAACGGCCATCATGTCAGGCATGTGAGTGATCGGGCGATCGATGCTCGTTATCCCGGGGGCTAGCCGTAACGCAAAGCGTAAAAGGTTCACCTGGGTTTTGGGAAGAAGCGGCGGCGGAGGGCAGGCAACATAATGCACGACATATTGAGCCGTCACCACTGCCCTCGCACTCACACTGATCCTAATTCTTTGTACCAAAAGCTGGGTGAATACTTGCACGGCCCTGAAACACGCACGCGCAAAAAAAGGTAAGGAATGCTGACAAACAGTGAGTATATCACCAAACGCCCTATCATGATACGAAGGCGTGTACGGGGAACGAACACATTAGAACCAGGAGCAACAACAATTCAATGGTCATCGTCGGGACCAGGAAAATTGCGTGGGATGTGCAGCGTTCCTGGAACCAATCGGCTAAACTGACCAGTCACATTCATCGGCTTAATCAAAACATCGGCCAACTAATATGGTGTGGGAACCCAGCGCGTCGGCACATCCATGAAATTCATACTCTCGCGTTGGTCCACTGCTGCTTCCAACGGCATCGCCTCTCGCAACTAGGCCGAATCCATGATCAGTCGCTTCTCTTGTGGTAGTTTACCTGGGTCCCAGTGCAGGGTGGCGGAGGGACTTGCAGTCGGTCGCGCTAGTGATCGGCAACAGGCGAATGGTGGCCAGCATCTCACTACTGGTCACGTCCATGTCCGCGTACATCATCTCGACAATCACAGCGCGCACGAACTCAGCTGAATCGAAGGCTTCCGTGCAGCTCTGAGTCTCGGCAGCGAAGGGGCTCATCGCCACTCGCGGCAACGTGTGACTCCTCCAGTCCACGAAGGTCGCCTTGCCTGGGCGACCTTCCGCCACGGCATGCTCGCACAGGTAGACCAAGAACCCTGCCTGTGGGTGGACCTTCTCTCCTTGGGCGATCCGCCGTAGTGCTTCGTCTCCGTGAGCGCATTCCCCCAGGCGGCGTCGGGGTAGATGACCAGGCACCACGGGGACTCCAGGTCCAGCTTGGGTGTGTGTGTGTGTGTGTGTGGAACTTCTCGCTAGCCGAACTTTGCAGGGCCACAGTAGGCTTGTTAAGATCCAGCAAGTCCTGGATGCATGGAACATTCTGCTTGCGCTGTGCCATTGATCCGGTGCATGAAAGGTCGGGTCTCGTCTCTCGGGCTGGCCATCCAAGACTCCCAACTGCGCTCCGACTGTCCGCGATCTCGCGGGCGTTGCGCTCCAAGCTCGAATCGCGATTCCAAGCCTGATCGATCTCGGCCGGCTCGAGTCTCCACTCGATGAAGGTCGACTGGACGAGCAGAGGGCCCCCCCCCCTGGGTCCGCCTGCAGCAGCTTACCGCATAACATCACCGGTGTACGTCGCCACTCGCCGAAGTGGAAGGGACCGCGAGATCCTTGACGTGGGGTGTGGGACCTCGTGGCCACGAGGAGGTCGTCCGCGTGCGCGCAGACAAGATTGCAAAGCCTCCCATCCTCGTTGAATCCACGAGACACAGTCCGGTCGAGTCGGGACTGCATCATGATGATGGGGTTGCCACTCTCGCCCTTCAGCTCCGCCTCGACTAACCCTCGACGTAGACGTCGCCGCCGCAGCCGCGGCGCATCCGCAAGCCCGAGGATGCCCTTCTTGACCATTCAGGAGGCAGCGAGGGTCCATGCAGGGGAGGCCCTCTTTGGGCTGTGACATGTAGAGCTCCTCGGCGCGTCCATGCTCCTCGCCCTGGATGAAGGCGCGCTCGACGTCTCCAACCACGATGTCGCGGTCGTGCGCCGCCGCCACCGCTGGGAAGGTGAGCGCCGAGTGTCTAGACACCGTCGGCGCGTTGGTCCGGAGGTCCATCGTGAGGTCAGGGTCGTTGTGGCCACCGCAGCACAGTGGAGCCTTCGGCTTGGGCGGCGCCCACTTGACTCCAGCGCTCTCTTTCCGGTGGAGGAACCTTGGCGTCGGGATGCGGCTGCGATGGGCCCGCTCGCGTACCTGCTGGCTCTCCTCGATCGAGAGGGGTTCGGCGGCGTCGTTGCTCTCCCACTGCTGCCACTGCAAGTCTGCCGCCTCCCGGTAGAGGTGGCGGTCGCTGGCTGGGATCATGTTCCATGGCGTCTCCTTCTTCAGCGATCGACGTTGCAGCCGCGTGGTGTTTCAGCTCCGCTTCGCAATGGGCCCGAAGCTAAAGTTGGTGAAGTGAGCTGGCCGTTCAGGATGACCTCTGGGATGTGAAAACGGCCCAGCGGGGAATGGGCGGAACACCTTGCCCTGACGGGCTTGCAGAGTCGACTGTGGCATCAGAGCTTTTTTCGGTTGTGGGGGGCCCCTTGCTCTGGGGGTGGGGCCTGGGCTGCGCCCGAAGCTGACGCGGGTGTCGCGGGCTCTGCTTGGGCCGAAGACGGTGGCCCAAGCGGTGCAGCTGCCTCCCGCCGCTTCCGAAGGGGCTCCTCCTCCGGCCGCGCAGCCTCCGCAGCTGGGGGCTTCTCCTTGACGTCCAGGGAAACGTCCTCCTCGATGCGACGCATGTCCTCCTCCAGCTCGTTGGCTCGCTCCTGGGGGACGTCCCCCAGGTCCTGGCCTTCCCTCCGCTGCAGAGGTCGGGCTTGTTCCTATGCTTCGCGGCCCACGTACTCGGTCGCCCTCGAACTCGGGCTTATCCTCCTTTTGGACCTGGCGAACCAGTTCGTTCAGCGCCTCGATATTAGGATCATCGCCCTGCCTGGGCCGCTGGATCTCCTCATCCTCGGCGGGTCGGAGCTACTCGTGAAAAAACATGAGCGGTTTCAGCCCCATGCGAAATCCAGAAGATCGAGGCGCCCGCCGGGCCGATGGCGACTGCTGGGCCTCGCCACTCGTGGAGCTTAATCTTCTTGCGCAGCCGCTGGTAGAACGCCGGGTCGCAGCTCTGGTAGTTGACGCGCGCGACCCTCGGCTTCCGCAAGAGCGCCCGACGGGGCGCCCGGCTGTGCTGCAGCTCCACGAAGGCCGTCCGCGCAGCGGTGTGGATAGCCGCCCTCTTGGCGAACTCGATGGACGCGCGATGCATGTTGTGCTCGGCTATCAGGCCGGGCCTGTCCATCAGGTCTGCCGACGTCGTCGGTGAGCGGCCGTGCGCCCGCTGCGACTGTGAAAAGCCACAAACCCGCCGCGTGTCGTTCTTGGCCTGGCAAGTCTCCCAGTCGGCGGTCTCCAGGTCGCCGCGGTTCTTGACCGACTTGTGTTCGACCGCTCGGTTGATCATGAGCTTGAGCCATCCTCTGTGTCGCTCTGTGCGGCAATTCTGCCACTGCGACTGCCGGGCCGCGGCCTTGACGAGGATGCCCATCATGTCCGTGGCCTCCTGGAAACATGCCGTCAAGGTCGAGCATCGCCGCGTTCGGCGGCCCCGCGGGCCGCAACGCTCGGACAACCTTGGCGACTGTGGCTGGCTTCCGACAATTGAAGTAGCGGGCAACGCGGTACGTCGTGGAGGCCTCGACGGTCGACGGGAACAGGTAGGGCTTCCCGTGCGCGTTCCGCAGGTAGAAGCCGTCGGCGCCCAGCTCGCCATTGAAGCCGACGCCTAGCGACGAGCGTGAGACTCGATGTGAGGTCGACGCAAGCTTCGTTCGATTGCACGTGGCGCAGCGTAGGTGCCTGGCCCCGCGGACTAGAGCATCGTCCGAGCCGTTGAGACTCAGGTTGCCGACCAGGTCGTTGTTCGACGGGTGACCCAGGTTCCGGTGTAGGCGTCGCAGCTGTGATCGAAACTCGAGGGGTCATACTCTGGCTTTTTCACCGAAGGTGATCGCGCGGGCTCCCATGTGCTCTTCCTCGGGTGCCTCGTCGCTGTCGTCGTCTGCGTGCGCTGCCATGGCCTGGTGCGTCTGGTTCAGCACCTCCTCGAAGGCGTCAACGATGCGTCCGTTGAAAGCCTGGATGTAGACCTGGCTCCAAGAAGTCTCCTTGCCGCCAAACCCCTGCAGCTCCGCGTGCTCATGATCTTCTGGACACCGCAGGCCGCAGTGCCTCTCGAAAGCCTCATGGCCGCCAGGATCCTCGCGGGCTTCTTGGCGGGCTTCCCGGTGCGAGGGCACGTCGAGCCGTGTGCGCGCATATCGGTCTGGAAATCCACCGCGCCTGGTAGCTGCCCGAGCCTCCGCCGCGGGCCCTCGTCCCAAGACCGCCCTAGCTCAGGGTGCTCAGGTGCCGCCATGCGGCCGCCCTCGTACTGCGGCGCGAAGATCGTCTACGCGAGCTTCAAGGTCGCCGACTCCTTGAGCCGCGCCCGCCGCAGGCGCTGCGCGCCACTCTGGAAGACGAGGTTCTGCGTGCGGCTCCGTGTCCTGCAGCGGGGCTCCAGCGGGGCCCTGTCCGGCTCCTCGCGCTTGACGAACTCGATCAGCTCCTCCTTGGTGGCGAGCTTCGTGAGATCATCGCCGTGCTCGATGTCCCACGGCTGACCCACTGGAACACCGCGCCGAGCGGCTTCCCAGGATGCGCCAGCCTTGCCGCCCAAGACCTCCACGAAATGGAACTTCGCTGTGCCGTCCTCGTCGACGACGAGGTGCGCCCCCTTGAGCGCGGACTCCGACTCGGCCCCCCTGAAGATGCCACTCGCGAGGTTGAGGCCGGCCGACTCGCCGATGGTCGCCGCGAGGCACGTGGCGGGCAGCGTCCGCGAATCCAGTGCCCCGCGCAACCCGCTGAGCGCGCGCTTCTTCATACCGCGGCGCAGGTGCCGCTTCACTTGGCCCGCTGGAAACCGAGGTCGAGGTGGTGCATCAACTGCCTGTCCTCGTCGCTCTCGCTCGCCGTCGGCTGGCTCGCCTCGCTCGTTTCGGTTTCGCTGTCCCCGTTGATCTTCTCCAGGTCGGGGTCCCAATCCGCCTCCGACGGCGGCTCTGCTGTCGTCGCTGCTGTCCGACTCGCCATCTCCCGAATCCCGTCCAAGCGATCGTCTATGCCGGCCGGGCTCATGTGAGATGACGTACTCGGGGGGCCTCGGTTCTTGACCTTTGCCTGGAGCTCTCGTCATGGGCGGTGCGTTGGGCGCGGCCTTCGGCGGTGGTCCGCTGCGCGGCCTCGCCGAACCTGATACCGAACCCAGCGAGAATCTCGCGGAGACTGCGCTTGTCAGTATCGGTCTTTCGGCTGCTGCCCACGGCATGATCCTGGGCTTCAGCGCGTCGAAGGCCCCCTCGATAGCGATGCCCGCAGCCTGGCAGAGGGCGGCGGCCTCGTGCTTCCTGAGCTTGCTGAACCCCGACGCCAGGTCCGACCTCTGCGGGCCCTCCCTGTGTTTGATGTCCTCGGGTGGTCGGACTGCTCGTAGGCTCTCTCGCAAGGCTGCTCGCGTCTCGTGTCCTGAGGTCCCCGATGGTCAGCGGCTCCTCGCGCAGCTCCGCCTTCGTCATCTCAGTGACCCCATGCCGCTTCGGTCGTGCATGGGCCATCCTCGAGATGATGCACTTCTGGTGCCCCGAACTCACCATCGCGCCGCGCATGGGAGTCACGAGGGCCCAGGCCGCATTCATCACCAGTTGAGCGAAGCGCCACCACGCTCGGCGAAGGTCTGGCTGCTTCTGAATCGTGCCCCTCTGGGCGGGCATGCGCCTCGAAGGGCTCGATGGATGTGGTGCCGCTAGCGCGGCTTGAACCAACGGCCGATGTGGTAGTCGACGCACACATGGCTGTCCCTGAGCTTCGTTTGTCTTGCTCGCTCTCCGTCTTGACGCACTCGGCCTCCGTTTTGGTGCGCTCGATCTCCGTTTCGCTTTCCGTTTTGCTAAGCTCGATCTCCGTTTGGATAAGCTCGATCTCCGTGTTGATCTGCTCGATCTCCGCATTTATGAACTCGCTGGAGTTGTGGCCCAGCTTTGTCGCGCTTCTGCAGCGGTTCCAGTGCTTCATATTGCTGCTCAATCTCGTTCTTCTACTCGTTTTCGTAGACCATGAGCGTTTGTACCTTGTCCTGGACCTGGCCTGGCGCCCCGAAGTAGCACGCCCGATGGTGAGATGGATGAAGTCCTTGGATCTGGTACTGTATTTCTTGCGCCGTCTCGTCCAAGACTGCTCCGGGCGATGCCGTCCAGCCTTCAGCTGGGGACAGAAACAGGTTGAGCAGCGGGTGCTGAGAGTCAGCTTCTGGGACTGGCACGGGTGGCGCGCCCAACTCCTCAGGAAAACTGAAGGTGCTTGATTCCGGGTCGTCGCGGGTGCCGAGCTGCTTCGCCGCTGGCATCGAATAGAGCAGCGGCAGGTCTCCAGGCGCGGTGCTGACGCGTGAAATGCCAGAAATTCGATGCGAAATGTAAATCAGGATGAGAGCCGCGCGAATATGCCAGACTGGGTCGCCAACTCCGAACCTGAACCGTTCCTGCTCTCTCGGCGACCTGCTGGCATCTCAAGCCTCGGGCGCAGCGTCTCAGCATCGCCGCCCGCGGCTTGAGCATGTTGTAGCCCATGGCGCATCTCGGAAGGGGGCGCCGCTGGATGCCCCCGAGAGGACCACCCCCTCCCCCCTCCCCCCCTTTCCCGATCCGTCGTCGGGGACCCCCCCCTTTCCCGATCCGTCGTCGGGGAAACCCCCCCCCCCCCCCCACCCCCCCTCCTTCCCCTCGTCGGAGAACCCCCTCCCCTCGCCCCCTTGCAAAGAGGGGGGAAACGCCCCCCCCCCCCCCTTTGGCCGCCAAATTCGCCCCCCCCCCCCCCGCCCTCTCTCCTTCCCTTTCGCCGCGGCGCCCCTGGTCTCCGGGCCCCGACCCCGACCGCCCCTAACACTAATCCTCACCCTTACCCTAATCCCCAACCTTAACCTCAAGCCCAAACCGTAGCCTCAAACAGCACGCACTACTCATTACTCACTACTCACTACCCACAATTCATGACTCGCTAGTCACTACTCACTTCTCACTACTGACTACTCACGACTCACTACTCATTACCCACGACTCACTACCCACTACCCACTACTCACTACTCCCTCCTCCCTATACACTACTCACTACTCACTGCAAACTACTCACTACTCAATAACCACTACTCAATGCTCACGACTCACTAACACAACTCACGCCCCACTACTCACTAATCGCAAATCACTACGCCCAACCCAAAAAACACTATCCACTACTCACTACTCACACTTCACTACTCACTGCCCACAACTCACTACCTACTACTCGCTACTCCCTACACAGTACTCACTATTCACTCCTCGCTACTCCCAACGTCCTACTCGTTACCCGATGCGCACTATTCACGACCAGCTACTCACTACTTACTACGCTCCCACTACCCACTACTCACTACTTCCTACTCCCTACTCCCAACGCGCTGCTTACTACTCACTACCCAATACTCACTACTCACTAAGCACTACTCATGCCCACTACTTACTACTCACTAAGCACTACTCACTACCCACTACCCACTATCCACTACTTACTACTGAATATTCGCAGCTCACCACTCACTACGCACTGCCCACAACTCGCTACTCACTATCCACTTTTCGCTACCCAATACGAAATTTTCACTACCCCCGACGCACTACTCGCTACTCACTACTCACTACTTCCTACTTACTAGCCACTAGTCGCAAATCGCTACTCACTACTCACTACTCACTTCTCACTCATTTCTACTCGCAACTCCCTACTCACTACCCACTACTCAATACCCACCTCGCTTCTCACTAATCACTACTCCCTACTCCCTACGCGCTACTCACTACTCACAACTCGCTACTCCTTACTCGCTACGCACTACTCCCTACTCACTACTCACTACTGACTCCTGACTACTCCCTCCTCACTACCCACTACTCAGGAGGCCCTACTCGCTACTCCCTACTCGCTACTCGCTACTCTCTACTCACCACTCACTACTCACTACTCTGTACTCACTGCGCACTACTCGCGACTCACTACTCACTCCCCGCTATTCGCTACTGTGTACTCCCTCATCCCTACTCCCTGCTTGCTACTCACTATGCACTACTCACTACGCACTACTCACCCCTGACAGCTCTCAACTCATAATTCCTTACTCACTACTTCCTTCCCACTATTCACTACCTACCACTCACTACTTACTACTCACTAATCTCTACGCGCTACTCACTACTACAACGACCCACTACCCACTACTCAATACTCACGACCCACTGCGCACTACTCACCATCAAATACCCACTACTCACCAATCGCTACTCAAAACACTCTACTCTCTACTCACTACCCAAGAAGCCCCCTCCCCAGCCCCCTGTTCGGCGCACAGGGAGGGAGGGGGGTTCGATCGAACCCCCTCCCGCCCTTTTCCAATGCCGAAGGGGTGAGGGGGGGTGTGGGGGGGGGTCCAGAACCCCCTCCCCTTCATGGGGGGAAGGGGGGGGGGTTCTGCGAGCGCCCCCCCACTCTTGTGTATTCAGGGCTATCCACTGGCGCGCTTTCCGCATCTCGTGCATCCGCTGTCGCGCATGGCGAATCCGATGCGCTTTCGCATCTCCGCGAAAGACGCGAAGATTAATGCGGGGGAAGAGAGGGCCAGGAACGAGTAGATGCCCGCGGTGGTGTTCGTCTTCGTTTGAGCCGCAGACGCAGGCGCGCCCCTGGCAATCATCGAACTGGTCAAACTCATAGCTGCGAGAGCCCTGTGGGGCTCTGCCTTCGCGCGCGCGCTGTCGTGAATCGCCGGCGGCGGCCTGCCGGCCTGCGAGGGGGGTGTCCGGTTCGAGTCTTGGGGCGCTCGTGGCCCCTCCCTTCCAGTGTCCTCGCTGGTCGCGTGCTTTGCAGAGAGACGTCAACTCATCTATCTCTTTCAGCCGCTTCGGGCCCCGCCGAGCTCCGCGTGGAGCTGGCGGAGGTGGGTGGCTCCGCTGGTTCTTGAAATCCTTCATCTTGAACTTGGCGCCCATGAACTTCGCGCGGGGCTTGTCCTGGCGCGGAAGACGCTTGTGGCTCTCTCTGAACCCTGCCGCGCGCGCCTCCGCCAGGGCAGCCATCGTCGCCCCCTGACCGTCGGCCTCGTCGTCCTGGTCGTCGTCCCCCGGCTCCTTGAAGGCGCCCAGGCCCGGGAGGTCGGCCGGGTCTCCACCGTTGGCCAGGAGCGACTTCACCGCGTGGTGCTCGTCGTCATCGAGGTCATGGAGGCGCTCGCTCATCGGATCGGGTTGCTCGTCCATCGCGGCGTGCGCGGCCCTGTGTTGGCCCCCTTCGGGGGCCCGTGTCATGGTGAACTCCTTCGGCTTGAACGGCAGGTCCTGTCCGCGGCCCGTCTTGTCAGACTAAGCGATGCTCGGGCAAGTCCTCTCGGCCGCGGGCGCCGTGGACTTGGCGTCATAATCGCTGTTCGTGCCGGCCAAGACCACATCTCTGCGATCGCTCGGGGGCCCCGGCTTCTCCAGAACAAAACCATCCGATCACCATTGGCGGCGACGTCGCCGCGAACTGGACCAGCCTGTGCACGCGAGTGCTGAGCCGTTTCTTGAATGTCCGCATCTGCTCCTGGTGCTGCCTCTTGAGCAGGGCAACGAACTCAGGTAGCGCGTCGCCCTGTCGTAGGATCTCCTGCTCCTCGAAGCAGTCCTTGAGCTCAGGCATGAGAGACTCGAGCCCGCCTGGCTCCGCGAGCCGTTCGAGGTCGATGTCTTCCACGGCAATCCGAGCGTCGTCGTGCAGACTTCTTGCCTCAGGGAGGTTGCCAACTGCCAGGCCTCGACGCGCATCAAGAAATCCCGCCAGCCCGTCCCGTCGAAGATAAGGATGGGAAGGGGAATTCGAATGCAACCGCTGTCTCTGTCGGTGCCTCTGGGCTCGAGCACCGCGCCGTAGCCCTCTGCCTCGTCGTCGTCGAGTTGCTCGAAAGACTCGCCCACGTCCTGCCTCTGAGGAGGCAGTCCCCGGTCAGCTCGACCGCGATCGGGAGATCTCCACGTGCGTCCCGACATGGCGGGCCGTGGAAATCAGCGCAGAATGGAATGGTATGCGTCGCGTAAACCAAAACCACAGGCTCCAGTTACCAATGTGAATGATCGGGTGATCGATGCTCGTTTGCTCGGCGGCTAGCTATAACACAAAAGCGTAAAGGTGCGCCTGGGCTTTGGGAGGAATCGGCGGCGGAAAGCAAGCAGCATAATTCGCACACATTGAGCCGTCACCACTGCCCTCGCAATCACAACGCACATGGTGGCTACGCACCCAAGTCGAAAACCCAACGCGCGCCGAGGAAAGCAAACCCCGCCGCTAGTCCCCCAGACAGCCGCTGTGGATCGTGCTTTTCTTCTCCTCGGGAGCACGAGGCGGCCTCCTTCACCGTGGCGGCCCAGATCACTCTGAGCTCCACCGCCCGTGAGAGGGCTTCTCTTCGATTCCTCGGGGGAACAAGGTCCGCTCCCTTCACCATGGCTGCCGCCGCAGCGCCGTCTTCCCCCCATCCCAAGGACACCCGGCGTGCGGAGCACACGGTGGGCAAACGGAGCGGCCAAGCTTGACGCCGTGTTCGTGGCACCCAATAGACGCCTCCGCCCCCCCAAAAAGTGCACGGGCCGCGTCGCCTCCGGGAGCGAGGAGGAGCAGACGCTTCCCCGCAAAACCAATGTGCGGCCAGGCCCAGCACGGAGGGGTCGAACGTACCAGGCTGGGCTCAAAGTGGCCCAATTGGGAAGCCCCCGTGCATGCCTCAAAGGCAAGGACGAGCACGAGGCCCCCGCGCAAAACTCAAGGTGTCCAGATGGCAAGTGTTGGAGAAGGCCAGCAAGGAACAGCAGGAGGCACAGGGCGCTCAGCGTGGAGACCGTGCGCACGACGAGCTTGCACTCGAAGGAAAGCCAAAAGACCCTAAGCATGTCATTGCGCCCCACTCTTCCAAGAACGCCATGGGATGCCCAGAAGACGGCGGCTGATGACCTGGGCCCAGACCAAAGACAGACACCTCCGGGAATCTGATTGTTGCATCGCGTGGCCCCAGACCTCCCGACCCCTTCCCCGCGGACATTTCTTTTTCGCCCCAATCCATTTTCTGACATTTCAAGGGCCCGACGACAGGCCGCGGGAGCCGGATCGAGGAAAAACGCCGGGATTGAAACCAATACGGTCGGGAACTGTTGCGTGGCGTGTCGCGGCGGCGAACCCGGTGACACGCTATGCTCTGCTAGGGGATAACGTGTCGCTCCGCTCCATTGGATGGGAAACTCGGAGTGACTCGGACCGTTGATGATGGGGGGCTCGGCCGTGCTTAGCGTGTCGCGCTGAAGCGTGGTGGGCCAGAGCCAGCGGAACGACATCAAACTTCGCGCATCGCGCCCCGCGATGCGCGATCATCTTCGCGCCCCCGTGCTCCCCGCGACGCCTCCGTGGAGAAGGGCAACCGCTCTGGTCCAGATCGCGACGCGAGAACCGCAAACATCTTCGCGCTCCCGCGGGTGACCTATGGTGCCCATGCACGGCACAATTTTTGGACTCCCTTCAGTCCAGCTCGAACGCGGTACGGTGCATGGTTTGTCGGCTCTGGGAAGCCCAAAAAGGCTGTGCACCGTGCCATGCCTGGGTCGAAGATCGACGACGCCCCGTGAGAAGCCAACGCGGCACGGTGCACACGAGTTTCCCGCGGACTACGCACAATCGAAACCTCTTCCCCCAGACATGCTCGCGTCGTGAATAAACCACGGCGGGCAATTGTTGCACATTTATTTTCGGCATCCGGGGGCCTTCGCCGGGCCCCATGACCGTCAAACAAAGATTGGTTGGGATGAGAAGCCAGCCCTGGAAGGAAAGTGTCGGGACTTCTGAGAAGGATGGGGAGGAGGCCCGAGGGAGGAGGAGGAGGGATGGAGGGAGGGAGGGAGGGAGGGAGGGAGGGCGAAAGGAGGAGGAGGAGGAAAAGGAGGAGGAGGAGAGATCCGTAATTGGCCATTTTGGCTCAAGGCTTTCTGGCCCAGGTGCAGGCCGAGCCTCAAATGCGTGCCTTGGCCAGACCGCGACGCTGATACCGTACCAGATCACGGCGCGTGAGCCTGCGTGGCACCGCCGCGCCCGCAAGCGGCGGCACCGCGCCAGAGTACTATTATCATTCTACAAAGCCCACTCCCTTTTAAGAGCCCAGCATAGTTCACCCTTTTCAAGATGGCTCGTTCCTCAGGACGATATGTACGGGGACATCATTGGGCTTCTGTGCGGGAGACACTACGACAATTGAGTTCGAGGATCGACACCACAGCCAGGACGTCAGCCCCTTCACCACCAGCGACGGGATCACAGTCGCACGCGTCGAGAGGTACAGCGTAACAGTCAACGTGATCAACAGAAGAAGGATGTTAATGCGTCTTTGGGCGAAGTAGTCACGATGAAGCGTTCATAAGCCACCACCTAAATGGACATGATTGGGTATGAGCATCAAGGCCTACAAGGCAAAAGGCGAAACAGAGAAGGTTTGATATTGCGCGCCTGATCATAGTGGTCAGGAAGGCTGGTAAGGAGGATGCTCACACGGGCAGCTCTCGCGTGAGGGACGACGTGTAGGAATCCTGAAGGTAAACCTAATGGCTGCGACCAAGCTCAAACCACCGAAATCCCAAGGATTGAACTTGAGCCAGAATTGCTACAGCGGGGTGGAGGAGGAGAAAGACGACGACGGCGGCGACGACACGCTAGGAGCCCAATGCTATCATAGTCGCCGCCATTGCCATCGTCGTCGTCTTCCTCCTGTTACTCCTCCTCCCTAGCAGAAGAAGAGCTGCAAGACAAATTCCTGGCACGTGAGGAGGCTGCCCTGGACCAACTCCACATCAATCTCGTCCGTCTTCCGCTGTATCCGCCACCGTCCTGAAGGGTCCGTTGCAACAGCTGCAGGGTGAGTTTTTTTTTTTTTTTTTTTTTTTTTTTTTTTTTTTTTTTTTTTTTTTTTTTTTTTTTTTTTTTTTCTCTCTCTCTCTCTCTCTCTTTCTTTTCGACATTGGGCGGAAAGTGGGGGAGGGGGGTCTGGCTCCGGACCTCTGCTTAGTGCGACTGTTTGCGACAGTGCGTCCTGTGGGGGAGGGGCTCCACCTGCTCATCACAAGCTCCAAACACAGCCAAGATCCACTCCAGGGGAGGGGGGGAGGGGGGGTGCGAGGGCCCGCGCCGATCGGCAAAACAATGAATAACAAAAACGATCACCAGTGCATATGCTGTTTGGGCGGACGTTCCTTGAGGGGCCCAGGGGCATAAATAAACACACGCACACACAAATCCGAGGGTCCCATCTCTGTTTTTACATATTTTCTGGGTTTTCGTCCTCCCCTCCAGTATTTTCCAGTTGGGTTGCCCTGGGACCATCTTGGGGGTCTCTCGGCCCGTCCATGGGCGAGCTTGGGGGTCAAACATGCTGAAAACGCATGTTCCCGAACATCTTTTGGCTATTTTTGCCTATTCGGGTCGTCTCCTGGACATCGTGGGGGCCATCTAGGGTCCTCTGGGGGCCTCTTTTGGCGCTCCCGGGGCTCTCTTGGAGTCTACGGGGGGTCTGCTGGCGGTCTGCACGTTTTCCAAAAGAAACGTGACGAGATTTGCCTCTTCGTGCTCTCTTCTGGACCTCTTGGAAGGCCATCTGGGTGCCTCGGGGTGCCTCGTTTGGCCCTCTTGAGCATCTCTTGGGGCCTCTTGGGGACCTGCTGGCGGTCTCGGGGGTCCTCTTGGCGCGGAAATCTCGAACCTGAGATGTAGTTCCCCGTCTTGACCGTCTCCTCTTGGGGCCCTCTTGGGGGTATTTTTTTGTTTCTCGCCTAGTTTCTACGTGCACAAGAACCTAGGACACATAACGTCTGGCTCGCACATGAACCGAGGAGACATGAAGTCTGCCTTGCTGCCTGACCCAGCCGAGGGCAATGCATTACCGCACGGCGTCACGCCGCATGTGTTCCTCCTGTATTCTCACACATGCTAATTCGCGTGATGGCCGAAACATGCAGGAATAACTTGCAACTGAAAACGGCTGGAGCGTGCGGAGGAGGAACAAGAGGCACAGGAGGACGAACATAATAATTATCGAGGAAAGGGGGAGAAGGACGACGATGAGGAAGCGCACATAGCGTGTGTGCAGTATCCCCGTAGCCCATCCTGTGTCCAGGACTTCGGGCACTGCCCGACGCCGACCAAGGGCGCTTGTGATCCAGCGTGAGCCCGACCCGCGGACGCATGCAGTGGAAAAATGCCAAAGGCTAGAGGAGGGGAAGGCGGAATGTAAGCAGGCGCTGCGGGAGGGCGACGACAAGGAGGAGGGACCGCCTGTGAAAATCATCGCGCAGCGCTTCGCTTGCGCTGCCGAATTGGCTCCCACCGATTGCGGGAAGGAGCCGGCGTCGGAGGGGCGTCTTGCGCCGCAGTGCGCTTGTGCTGTCGAATTGGCCACAACGGCGGCGGGACGGAGCAAGCGTCAGCGGGCGAAAGCGGGCTGCCGCGCAAGGCGTGCTGTGGGGGCGAGTGGACGCTCTCCGACGTGAGATGAAGGAGGGGAAGGGGGCCGAGGTGTACGGAGCACCCAGGAGCCCAGTGTACGTCCAGGACTTCGGGCACTGCGCGACGCCGACCGAGGGCGCTTGTTACCCAGCGTAAGCCCGATCTGCGTACGTTTGCATCGAAAAAGAGGAGGAGAGGAGAAGGGGGAGGGTCAGGAGGAAGGAATCGAAGGAAGTAGGATAAGGAACAGGAGTGGGAGACAAGGGGTAGGCGACACATTGGCCAAGACCCGCTCAGAAGAAGGATGACGCCCGCTTGGCTAGCACAAACAAAGAAATCGCGCGAACTACGATGACGATCGCGATGAGGATGGCAACATACAGCCACCTGTGGCCCGGCTCGACCTCATTCGTCGTGATGAACCTCTCGGCCATCATCTGATCCTCGGCGGGCCAGTCCTTCCGGGCATCCTCGCCGAACTCGTTGAGGAGGAACAGGTTCATGCCGTACTTGAGCGCACAGATGTACTGGACCCAGCGGAGGAAGACAGGCACATTGTCGATCTTGATGAAGAAGCCCGCGAAGAGGAGCTGCGGCACAAAGATCGCGGGTGCCGCCTGGTTGGCTACCTCCGCGTTCGCTGCGATGCTGCCCACGAGCAAGGCTACAGACGAGGCCGCCATGCCCGTGATCCAGAAGATGAGAACGTAGTCGATAAAGTTGCCGTGCAGACCCATGATTATATGGCAGCTGCCCCAAATGATGATGGAGTTCAGCAATGACTGCGGCAGCTCCACCATGCTTTTCGACAGAGAATATGGCAAGGCCCCGTAGGTGCATGTGGAGTACTCACGGAGGAAGATGCCGCGGTCCAAGGGGAACCGGAGCAGGAGTGGCTGGGCCGCGCCGAACATGCCGCTGATGGCGACCTGGGCGATCGCACCGAAGTGCGATTGGGAGTCGTAGTTGTCCTGCGAAGTGTCGCCGACCTGGAAGAATATGAACGCGAAGAACAAGTTCAGTATCAGCGGGATCAACACCGATGCGATCAAACCAGGCTTGTCTCGCCACACCGACGAGGCCTCCCTCCGGGACAGCGCCAGGAGCTGCGTGCAGAAGCCGGCAGCAGTCCCAAGGTCTTCATCCTCTGCCCTCTCGGCTGGGGCCTCGCCCTTCGCTGGCGTGCCGTTGGACTCGTACTCCAGGCGGAGGCTCCCCTCAAGAGTTGCGATCTTGGTCTCCTGCTGTGTCATCAGCAGGAACATGACGTGGTCTGCCAGGTTGTACTCGCTGGGGCATCCGTGCCCGAACTTGTTCAGCTGGGAAGAGAGTTGCTCCACCGTCCCGAAGAAGAACAGATGTCCCTCGCGTAAAACGATGACCTTGCTGAACGAGTGAAACACTTCGGATGAATGGTACATAGAATGTTGCAGCCCGACCCGTCCGCCAGTTCACGCAGTTTTCCGATTACCTGGTGCGCAGAGTACGAGTCGAGACCAGAAGTGGGCTCGTCCAGGAAGACGAGCTTGGGGCGCATGATGAGCTCGATGCCCACGGACGTGCGCTTCTTCTCACCACCAGAGATTCCGCGCATGAGCTCGTTTCCGATATAAGTATCGGCACACTTTGTGAGCCCTAGATCCGTCAGCATCTTCTCCACGAGCTCGGACTTCTCCGATGCCGGCACCGACGCTGGCAAGCGCAGCTTGGCGGAGAAGAGCAGGGCCTCACGAGGCGTCTGCGTGGCGTACAGCACATCCTCCTGCATGACGTAAGCGATGCGCTTCCGTAGCGTGAGCCCTGTCAACGACTTCCCGCCGAGCCGCATGTCGCCGCGGACCGTCTGCTTGCCGTCCCTGGTGCGCACTCGCCCGGCCAGGACGTTCAGCAGCGACGTCTTGCCCGACCCGGAGGGGCCCATCAGCGCGCAGACGTCGCCGCCGTTCAGCTGGCCGCTGATGTTGCTCAGGATCTCCTTCTCCCCCTTGCGGGTGACGACGGTGTACCCGACGCTCTGCCACGTAAAATCGGCGCCGAACTTCTTCGAGGGCGAGCCTCCCGCGCTCACTGCCGGGGGCTCCTCCGCCATGGCGGAGCGACGAGTGCCGGCGGCTGGAGCGGAGCGCGCGCGCGCGAGGGCCCAGGCTCGAGCCCGAACCTTGAGCTGAAACGGCTACGGAGGCCGTCTTGGGCGCCTCTGGGCCCGTCTTGGGGCGCTGTTGGCCCGCCTCGGGGCCATTTTTGGGCGAGCTTGGGGGCCCCTCGGGCCGTTTTGAACGTGGTGGAACGCAAAAAGGCCAATTTGCTGAAAGTAGGCGTTATGGGGGCCTGCTTGCGTTGCGGAGCGCTCTTCTGGGACCTCGGGCGCCCACTAACCACTAACGGCCGCCCGAGGCCGTCCTGGCGCAGCCTAGATACCTCTGGACGCCGTTCCAAAGCCATCTAGGGTGCTCTCGAGGTGCGGTGGACCGATCCCGTAAACTTTCGTACTCTTTTTTCGGCAGTCTGTGCGCCCGCGGGGCCACTTTGAAGCCACGGGGGCGCTCGCGGGGATCCCCGAGCGGCTATGACACACCGAGGGTGTGATCTCGGGCCCGCCCGCGGATTGCTCTGATATATGTATATATATATACACATACTAGAACCATCGCGCGCGCTTCGCGCGCGCTCAAGATCTAGCGAGGCTGGATGGTCGAATTCTTGGGATCTCTATTCCATGACACTTCTTCTCCGGGGCTTCCCAGAACCACGAAGACGGCCGAAGCGGCTTCCAAGACTTCCTGCGGTCCACCCACGACGTCTTGATCAAGACAGGCTCAAAGGCACGTCGGGGGCCCTTCTATTCGCCGCGGCTGGACGTAGCCGGAGGAAGATGGATGAGAAGGGGAGGTGAAGGGTTTCCCTGGGGGAGAAGGAGTTGGAGAGGGTGGAAGAGGCCGCAGAGGAGGAGGAACCAGAGGAGGAGAAAGAGGAGGAGCAGGAGGAGGATGGAATCTGATACTTCCCTTTTGACAAGCATAGCGAACCTGCCAGGCGAACTTTGGAACAAATGTTGGACATCCCGTTTTTCTCAAGTGCCCTCGGGGCCTCTCTCGGGGCTCTGTTGGATCTCTTTGGGACTTCTTGGGGACCTCTTAAAGCTTCCTGGGGGTCTTCTGGGGCGAAGATCTCGTGTTCTTGGTTCACGCTCCCGATCTTGGGCCGCGGTCGGGGCCCTCTCGGGCCGTCTTGGACGTCTCTTCAGTGCCTTTGAAGCCTATTGGGCCGTCTTGGGGCGATCCTCGGAGCCTCACGGAGCGTTTTGCAGCGTTCGGAAGCAGAACAGGCGGAAACGCCAAAATTGTTAGAAAACCTATGGAACATACATGTGTTTTGGCATCTTCGAGCCCTGGTGGGCGACCTCTTGGAAGCCTCTTGGGTATCTTGGGGGCCTCTTGGGCCGTCTGGAGGCCGTCTTAGGGCCCCTTGGAGCCTCTTTTGGGCTTCTTGGGAGCCTCTTGGGGCCTCTTGGGGCCAACTGGGGGTTTCCTGGGGGCCTCTTGGGGCCTCTTGGGGGCATCTTGGGGCGAAGAGCTTGATTTTTCAGTTCGCGTTTCCTCTCTTGGGCCCCTCTTGGGACCTTCTTGGGACCCTCTTGCGTCGTTTGGGCGGCTCTGGGGCCGTCTCGGGGCTCTCTTGGGTCGTCTTGGGGCCCTCTTGGGCCGTCTTGGAGCGGTTTTGGGAGCCTTTTGGGCGGTGCTTTAGCGCCGGAAACACGAAATAGCGAGAATGCAAAAAACATTGAAACAATAAATGACAAAACAATGGTTTTGCCCTCTTGGGGCGTTCTTGGGCGGCATCTTAAAGGCCTCTTGGGGCGTCTTAGGGGCCTCAGGGGCAATTCAAAACGCATCGTGCGTCGCCAGAGACCCCTGGACGGCGTCTTGGGGGTGTCTCGAGACCGTCTGGGGCCGCCGGGATTGCTGTCTGGGGGCTCCCTGGGCTGATTTCAAACCTCCCAGAGGCGGGCCCAGGCCCCGGTGCCCACATTTGCGGTCGAGGTGCCGGCCCTCGGCCCCTGGGCCCGGTGCACCGTTAAATGTATAAAATACAATATCCATATGTATATATCGGAGTTGAGGGGGTGAGATCGAAGTGGAACGGAGAGCCCCCCTACCGGGAAATCGATTTCGGTTTCGTGTTCGTGCGTGCCGTGCGCGCGGGCGAGGCGAAGCTGCGTGGGCGGCCGAGAGGAAAGTCCTGTGGCTGAGGCGCGGCCGGACCAAATGTGTCTCTTCCGGGCGGCCGGTGGCGCGCGGTGTCCCGCAGGTGTCCCGCTGGTGTCCCGTCGGTGTCCCTGTGGCTGAGGCGCGGCCGGACCAAATGTGTCTCTTCCAGGCGGCCGGTGGCGCGCGGTGTCCCGCCGGTGTCCCGCTGGTGTCCCGTCGGTGTCCCTGTGGCTGAGGCGCGGCCGGACCAAATGTGTCTCTTCCGGGCGGCTAGTGGCGCGCGGTGTCCCGCCGGTGTCCCGCTGGTGTCCCGTCGGTGTCCCGTCGGTGTCCCGATGATGATTTGGATGATTATGATGATGATGGTGATGATGATGATGATGATGGTGATGATGGCGATGATGATGATGATGATGATGATGATGATGATGATGACGATGTTGGTGTTGTTGTTGATGATGATGACGTCGATTGTGAGATCGATTGTGAGATCGATAGTGAGATGGATAGTGAGACCGAATGTGAGACCGAATGTGAGATCGACTGTGAGATCGATAGTGAGATCGATAGTGAGATCGACAGTGAGACCGAATGTGAGACCGAATATGAGATCGATTGTGAGATCGATTGTGAGATCGATAGTGAGATCGATAGCGAGATCGATAGTGATATCGATAGTGGGATCGAATGTGAGATCGATTGTGAGATCGATAGCGAGATCGATTGAGTGAGACGTTGGTTCCCCCTCCCCCTCACCTCCTTATCACCCGCAAGGTGGTCGTATAGGTATACATATATATATATATATATATATATATCGGAGGTGAGGGGGTGAGATCGAAGTGGAGCGGAGAGCCCCGCTACCGGGAAATCGATTTCGGTTTCGTGTTCGTGCGTGCCGTGCGCGCGGGCGAGGCGAAGCTGCGTGGGCGGCCGAGAGGAAAGTCTCCTGTGGCTGAAGCACGGCCAGACCAAATGTGTCTCTTCCGGGCGGCCGGTGGCGCGCGGTGTCCCGCCGGTGTCCCGCTGGTGTGCTGAGGCGCGGCCGGACCAAATGTGTCTCTTCCGGGCGGCCGGTGGCGCGCGGTGTCCCGCCAGTGTCCCGCTGGTGTCCCGTCGGTGTCCCTGTGGCTGAGGCGCGGCCGGACCAAATGTGTCTCTTCCGGGCGGCCGGTGGCGCGCGGTGTCCCGCCGGTGTCCCGCTGGTGTCCCGTCGGTGTCCCGTCGGTGTCCCGATGATGCTGTGGATGATTATGATGATGATGATGGTGATGATGATGATGATGATGATGATGATGGTGATGATGGCGATGATGATGACGATGATGATGATGATGATGATGATGATGTTGGTGTTGCTGTTGATGATGATGATGACGTCGATTGTGAGATTGATGGTGACATCGATAGTGAGACCGAATGTGAGATCGATTGTGAGATCGATAGTGAAATCGATAGTGAGATCGATAGTCAGATCGATTGTGAGATGATGATGGTAATGATGATTATGATGATGATGGTGCCGAGTGAAAATTGCGGAGTGAAAATCGATAATGAGATCGATTGTGAGATCGATAATGAGACCGAATGTGAGACCGAATGTGAGATCGATTGTGAAATCGATTGTGAGATCGATAGTGAGATCCATAATGAGACCGAATGTGAGACCGATTATGAGATCGACTGTGAGATCGATTGTGAGATCGATAGTGAGATCGACAGTGAGACCGAATGTGAGACCGAATATGAGATCGATTGTGAGATCGATTGTGAGATCGATAGTGAGATCGATAGCGAGATCGATAGTGAGATTGATAGTGAGATCGAATGTGAGATCGATTGTGAGATCGATAGCGAGATCGATTGCTCCTTATCACCCGCAGGGTGGTCGTATAGGTATATATATATATATATGTATTAGTCGGAGATGAGGGGGTGAGATCGAAGTGGAACGGAGAGCCCCCCTACCGGGAAATCGATTTCGGTTTCGTGTTCGTGCGTGCCGTGCGCGCGGGCGAGGCGAAGCTGCGTGGGCAGGCGAGAGGAAAGTCTCCTGTGGCTGAGGCGCGGCCGGACCAAATGTGCCTCTTCCGAGCGGCTGGTGGCGCGCGTTGTCCCGCCGGTGTCCCGCTGGTGTCCCGTCGGTGTCCCTATGGCTGAGGCGCGGCCGGACCAAATGTGTCTCTTCCGAGCGGCCGGTGGCGCGCGGTGTCCCGCCGGTGTCCCGCTGGTGTCCCGTCGGTGTCCCTGTGGCTGAGGCGCGGCCGGACCAAATGTGTCTCTTCCGGGCGGCCGGTGGCGCGCGGTGTCCCGCCGGTGTCCCGCTGAAGTCCCGTTGGTGTCCCGTCGGTGTCCCGATGATGATGTGAATGATTATGACGATGATGGTGATGATGGTGATGATGATGATGATGGTGATGATGATGATGATGATGATGATGATGATGATGATGATGATGATGTTGGTGTTGTTGTTGATGATGATGACAATGATGACGTCGATTGTCGGATCGATTGTGACATCGATGGTGAGACCGAATGTGAGATCGATTGTGAGATCGATAGTGAAATCGATTGTGAGATCGATAGTCAGGTCGATTGTGAAATGATGATGGTAATGGTGATTCTGATGATGATGGTGCCGAGTGAAAATTGCGGAGTGAAAATCGATCATGAGATCGATTGTGGGATCGATAGTGAGACCGAAGGCGGAACCGAATGTGATATCGATTGTGAGATCGATTGTGAGATCGATAGTGAAATCGATAGTGAGACCGAATGTGAGACCGAATGTGAGATCGACTGTGAGATCGATTGTGAGATCGATAGTGAGATCGACAGTGAGACCGAATGTGAGACCGAGTGTGAGATCGATTGTGAGATCGATTGTGAGATCGATAGTGAGATCGATAGCGAGATCGATAGTGAGATCGATAGTGAGATCGAATGTGAGATCGATT